TCACAACGGTGTCAAGGTAACGCACTGCATGTTCCCCTCCCCTCCCCTCCCCTCCTATGCTCCCAACACCTCATGCTGTCTGAAACGAGATTCCATCTTGAAAGCGCTCTGCATAACACATAACATCAACCACCCTCCCTGCGTGCAGGTGTCATGCAGTGTGGTGGAGACGTATGGCAAGGACCTTCGCCCGCGCGACCTTGAAGCCACACTGCGACTCGAATACCGCTCCAAGGTGGGTTGCCAGGTGCAGGGTGGGCTGCCGAGGAGAAAGGTGGGCTGTGACCTCCTGCTTCGTTGCCTTGTCGTGTGGCTCAGTGCCTGTGCTGCGACTGGAAAGGCAGGTGTTGCTCCACTAGTCATCCAAACACTGCCTGTCCTCCACAACCCTTTAACCCATCACACGTCGCCCCTCCTATTTCTCCACCTCTCCTCCCTCCTGCCAGCTGCTGAACCCCAAGTGGGCGGAGAAGATGGCAGCGCAGGGCAGCGGGGGCGCATACGAGATATCACAGCGCATGACAGCGCTGCTGGGGTGGGGGGGCACCACAGGCTTCCAGGAGGACTGGGTGTTTGATCAAGCCGCTGACACCTATGCACTAGATGATGCCATGGCCGCTAAACTCAGGAAGAACAACCCCCAGGTGCGTGCATGTGGCTCTGCGTGCGTGCATGCGTGTGCTGCTGCTGGGGTGGGGCGGCACCACAGGGTTCCAGGAGGACTGGGTGTTCGACCAGGCCGCCGACACGTACGCTCTCGATGATGCCATGGCTGCCAAGCTGAGGAAGAACAACCCGCAGGTGCGTCTGTGTGTGTGTTGTTGGGTGGGTGCTACTGCTAGTAGCGGAGGTACTCGGAGTGCCAGGAGGACTGGGTGTTCGATCAGGCCGCTGACGCCTATGCGTTAGATGATGCCATGGCTGCAAAGCTGAGGAAGAACAACCCTCAGGTATATGTGTGTGCTACTCAGGATGGGTGAAAGCAGCGCTGGGGTGGGTTGGCACCACGAGGTGCCAGGAGGACTGGGCGTTTGATCAGGCTGCTGACACGTACGCTCTTGATGACGCCATGGCCGCTAAGCTGAGGAAGAACAACCCCCAGGTGCTGACACACAATTTAAAATTCATTTCCAATGGCCTTGCCACATTTCCTAAGCATGCAGCCCTGCCAATGTCCTTCGTTTTCTGAAGTTTGAGTTTCGCCCGTCCTCTCCGCTTTCTCCGTTGTTGGCATTGTCACACGCACCCATCACTGCCACTGCAGGCATTCCAGAACATTCTGAAGCGCATGCTGGAGGCAGCGGGGCGGGGCATGTGGCAGGCGAACGATGAGGTGATTGAGAAGCTGAGGGAGCTCTATGCTGAGATGGACGATGAGCTTGAAGGGGTGAAGCTGCGCTAGGTAGTGATGAAAAACAAGTTAAAAAATAACTAGAAATTACCAGTAGTGTAGCATGGGCAGGTGAACGTGGAGGTGATTGAGAGGCTGAGAGCGCTTTATGCTGAGATTGACCAAGTGGTCAAACAGCGCTAATGAACTGTTATGTGACTGCCTTTGTATACGTACATACAAGTAAACTGTATGGTATTCAGGCCCCCAGAAGTCAGAAAAATTTCTCTGATTTGCATGAAAAACTCTGATTGTGACAAGACTCTACAAGGAGTCTGCAATGCAGTCGTCATATAATCATCATCAATTTGTACATGGCACACAATATATATATAACTAAATAGCAAGAACAAGCAGTACACACTATCTAAGCGTCTAAGCGTCCTAGGGGTGCGGCGGGCGGGAACTCAAACTGAGATGGATGAAATGAGACTAGGTGGCAGGTCCGTGGACCTGCCGAGGGATAAGAGGGGAATGCCTCCTTATTGCATTCCCCCCTTTTCGAATCTTGTCACAATCATTAAATTTAGAAATTTATTTCTAAATTATTCATATTGTGACAAGACTCTACAAGGAGTCTGCAATGCAGTCGTCATAGGACAAACGTGTCAAATGTTGTAGCCTATAGTGAGGTTTGTCTTAGGGGGTACAGAAGTTAGGGTTTGTTATATGTACCCCAACCAACATCAATGGAACCATCCATTCCTCATTCTGACATGGTATCAGCTAGGCTAGGATCCTGTGGGATCCCGTTCCTCCGTTCTCCGTTCGTACCTCCCGAGCCTGATCCTACCTCTCGTTCGTACCAGTTTCGTTGTTACCGCGCCTAGTACCGAGCCTAGCGCCATCTCCCCCGTCGCGTCACGCCCGTTCCCCCCCGTCGCGTCGCGCCTGTTCCCCCCGTCGCGTCGCGCCCGTTCCCCCCGTCGCGTCGCGCCCGTTCCCCCCGTCACGTCGCGCCCGTTCCCCCCGTCACGTCGCGCCCGTTCCCCCCCGTCGCGTCGCGCCCGCCTGTTACCCCCCCCGTCCCGTCGCCCTGTCCCGTCGCGTCGCCCTGCCCTGTCCCGTCGCCCTGTCCCGTCGCGTCGCCCTACCCCGTCGCGTCGCCCTGCCCTGTCCCGTCGCCCTGCCCCGTCGCGTCGCCCTCCCCGTCGCGTCGCCCTCCCTAGGCCCTGGCCCGTCGCCCTCCCTAGGCCCTGGCCCGTCGCCCTCCCTAGGCCCCTCGCCCGTCGCCCTCCCTAGGCCCTGGCCCGTCGCCCTCCCTAGGCTCTGGCCCGTCGCCCTACCCTAGGCCCTGGCCCGTTGCCCTACCCTACGTCTTGGCCCGTCGCCCTAGCCCGCTCTTCCGCTGCGACTGAGTCCTCTTCCCCCCCGGTTGTTACTCGCCTGTTCGTTCGCGTTGGTTCTCACTATGGCGACTCCGCGAGTTCTTCGTTTCGACGCCGACGGTAGACCCCTTGACTTTTCCGTCTGGCTTCTTCGCGCTCGTCGTCTGTTAGAGAGTCAGGTCCAGGGGGGCGAGACCCTCTGGTCACACGCTACTGGTGACCTCCCCGAGCCCCCCGAGCCTACACCTTTAGGCCCTGCTCCTGACGACGCTGCTACGGCTCGCTTTGCCCGTCAGCGCGCTGACCGGACGGCTTGGACGTCGCGTGACGCTGCGGCCTGCATCGCACTCAGCAGCCTCCTCCCTGAGTCCGAGGAGGTCCACTTTACTCAGGTTCGCACCGCTGCTGCGTACCTCACTGCGATTAAGGCCCGCTACTCTACTCCCGCTACTGTCTCTCTCTGCCGTCTTTTCCTCTCGTTCCTGTTTCCTGATCTTGCCTCGTTTGAGCGCTCTGCTGACTTGATCGCTCACCTCCGCTCGCTCGACGCTAGTTACCGCGCTGCTTGCACTGAGGCACAGCTTGCACTGCTTCCTCCCCCCATGGCGATTACTGTCTATTTCATCGCCACTAGCCTCCCTGACCGCCTTGCCTCCGTTCGTGACGCGCTTCTACTGAAGCACCCTAGTGAGCTGACTATCGAGGTCCTTGAGTCTGCACTCAAGGACGTCGAGAGCAACCTTCGTTCGGTAGCTGCCGCCTCTGGTACTGTGTCCCCCCCACTCTTCCACGGGTGCACAGTCCCGCAGTTACCCACCTTCACTGCCTCTCTTGCCACTGCCGCTACTGACGCGACTGCGGCTGCTGTTACGACTGCGTCGCGGTCCCGCGGCAGGGGGGGCAAGAAAGGTGGTTCCGGTGGAGGTGGAGGCGGAGGTAGCGGAGGTAGTGGGGGTGCTGTTGCGACTGGCGGTGGTGGGAGTGCAGCGTCTGGAGAGACCCCTCGTGCAGCGGCTGGTGACTCCACTGCACCTGCTGGTGGCGGCGACCCTCGAGCTCGTCAGTCGCCTCCTGTACTGCCGGCCCCGCTAGGTGGAGCAGCGGCGTGGTACCAGGCTCAGCGTCAGCAGCACCTTCAGCAGCAGCAGCAGCCCCTTTCCTCCCAGCAGCCTCAGCAGCAGCAGCGTCAGCAGCTGGCTCCGGGGTCAGGGCTGCGTCAGCCCCAGCGCGGTGCTGCTTACCCTCCCTGCCCCTACCAGGTTCAGACAGGTCCTCGTCGGGGCCACCCTTGTGGCCGCTTTCACCCCCCTGGTCAGTGCTTTGCTCAGCTCACTGACACGGTCCGGTTGACCTACGGGGTTGGCGGTCCTGCTCCTGACTGGCTTCCTCTGGTTCAGCGCTACGGCTTCGCTCTGTGGGGCATGTCTACTGAGCAGTTAGTTGATCTGATTAGTGCTCCTCATGCTATGTATGCTGTTGTTGACTCTAGTGTTTCTGACTCTGTTTACTCTGGTGTTGTTAGCTTAGGTGCTAGTCTTGCTCAGTTGCCTGTTGCTAGTGTAGGTACTTGTGTAGACTCTAGACCAGCGACTACCTCAGAGGACGCTTCGCTGTCGTTCACACTGGACTCTGGAGCCTCCCACTGCTTCTTTCGGGACAGCATGACACTTACACCACTTCCTGCGCCTGTTTTTGTAGCGTTGGCTGATCCCACTACGGGACCAGTCACTGCACGTCACACTACCACTTTACCGTGTCCTCCTGCTCCCTCCGGGTCTCTCACTGGGTTTCACGTCCCCTCGTTCTCCCGGAACTTGGTGGGCGTGCGACCCCTCGTGAGTCAGCACGTGGGTGTGTGGTTTGAGCCTTCTGGAGAGACTGCGGTGTGTGTTGACGGAGACTCTTACCAGCCTCTTGCTACCTTTACTGCTGAGCCGGGCTCGGGTCTCTACACTCTTCACACTGGCCCGCGTGCGCCGCAGCAGCAGCCACAGCAGCAGCAGCAGCCGCAGCCGCAGCAGCAGCAGCAGCCGCAGCAGCAGCAGCAGCAGCAGCACCAGCGGCCGCACCAGCAGCCCCCCCTACTGCCACTGCCCCCGGTTCCCCCCCTCGTTCGGGTCCCCGCGTCTCACCAGGTTGCTACGTCCCCCCAGGTGTCTGTGTCGTGTCAGGTTCCTACGTCTGTTCCAGTCGCTGCGTCGTGCTCCTGCCGGTCGCTTGCCCACCCCACCGTTCTGTGGCACCACCGGATGGGGCACCCGTCCCTTCCACGTCTGCGCGCTATGTCTAGTCAGCGTCTTGTCCTAGGCCTCCCACGTGTCTTGCCGTCGCTGCCGCCTTCGCCTGCGCCGCCGTGTCGTCCCTGCGTCGAGGGTAGGCTGCGCGCCACCCCTCACTCCTCCTCCCTTCGTCCGGCCACCGAGCCTTTTGAGACGCTTCACTTGGACGTCTGGGGCCCAGCCCCTCGTCTAGGCCCTGAGCGTGAGCGTTACTTTCGGGTGGTCGTTGACGACTTCTCCCGCTACACCACAGTGTTCCCTCTGGCGAAGAAGTCTGAGGTGACTTCTACGCTGATCAGGTGGTTACTCACCACTGAGGACACTCGTGGTCGTCGTGTCAGCTGTCTCCACTCCGACCGTGGGGGTGAGTTTCGCTCCGGCATTCTCGCTGGATTCTGTCGCGAGCAGGGCATTCGTCAGTCCTGGACGCTTCCAGAGTCCCCACAGCAGAATGGGGTTGCTGAGCGCCGCATAGGCCTGGTCATGGAGATCGCCCGCACCTCCCTGACTCACGCCTGTGCCCCCCATTTTCTGTGGCCCTACGCGGTCAGGTACGCCGCGCACCAGCTGAACCTCTGGCCACGTGTCTCTCGACCAGAGGTTTCACCGACCAGTCTTTGGACAGGGTCCCCTGGTGTTGCGTCGCGGTTTCGTGTCTGGGGGTGCTTGGCTCTTGTCCGCGACACCTCCGCGGACAAGCTCTCGCCTCGTGCCGTCCCCTGTGTCTTCCTTGGTTTCCCTGAGGACTCCTCTGACTTCACCTTTTACCACCCTCCCTCTCACCGGTTCTTTGACTCCCGTGACGTCCGTTTCGAGGAGTCCACTCCGTACTACGTCAGGTACCCCAGTCGAGGTCTCTCGGTTCCTCCTCCCCCCCTCTTCCTGACTGCCGTTCCCCCTCCTGCTCCCCCGGTACAGCCTCCCCCCCCTGGTCCAGCCCCGTCAGGTGTGTCCCAGGCTACCCCTCCTCCTTCGGTAGCCCCTCCGGTACAGCCTCCCTCCCCACAGTCCTCCTCGCAGCGTGCCGCTGGTGCTAGCTCTCGAGAGGTTGGTGCGGCGCCTGTTCCTGTACCGGTTTCTGGTTCTGGGGGTGCTGGAGTTGGAGCTGGAGTTGGAGCTGGAGTTGGCACTGGAGTTTCTGGTTCTGGGGGTGCTGGGGTTGGAGCTGGAGTTTCTGGTTCTGGAGTTGGAGCTGACCCGGTGGGTGCAGAGGACTCTTGTCGTCCGGAAGCTAGTGCTGGCCGCGCGGACACTGGGGGTGCTGCGTCTGGGGGTGAGGGTGCGCCTCCTTCGGGTTCAGGTGAGCCTGGGTCTGGAGCTGGTGTTAGTGCTGCCTCTGGGGGTGGTGCGCCTAGTTCTTCTGGGGTGGACTCTGGAGCTGCCGCTGCTTCGGACACTACTCCACCCCCCCACCCCTACCCGACTAGGCATCAGGCTCGTGTTCGCCGTGCCCGTGACGAGCAGCTGGCGTTGGAGAGAGAGGAGAGGGAGTTACAGCGGCTGGAGGAGCAGCAGCAGCAGCTGGACCCGCAGGAGCAGCAGTCCCAGCAGCAGCCGCTTCCGCAGCAGCAGCAGTCGCAGCCGCAGCAGCAGCAGCAGCCACTTCCTCCTCCTGTCTCGGGTCTTCGGATCCTTGGTCTCCCCTCCCCTTCTCCTCCCTCCTCCGCCTCTCCTCCTGTCTACGGTCCCACGTTTCCTCCTCCTGACTCCTCCCCCGCTGTTTTCCCCCAGTTCTCCGCCCTTGTCCTCTTCTCCTCCGTCTCGTTCTTGGGCTACTCGTCGCTCCCCTCGTGCTCGTCCCTCGTCTCCTGTTCCCTTCACTGACCTTCGTACTGCCTTCCTTCTTTCTAGTCCACCTCGTCCGTCTCAGTCTGTGCTTCCGTCTCCTCCTGATTCGGCCCTCACTGTGTCGCTCCCTACTCCTGTCACTGACTACTACCGCACGTACCGTCCTGTTCTCTCTCGTGTTCTCGCCTCTCTTGTTACTCACCCTCGTGCCTCTGTGTCCTCTGTGTCCGCTCTTACTGCCGCAGTTACTGACTTTGCCTCTACCCGCCGCCTTGACTACGCCACCACGCTTGTGGCTGCTCCTCCTACCAGTCCTCTGGCCGTCGGGGGTGTGTCTGCCGTTGGCTGTGACGCCCTAGAGGACAGGCAGTTTGAGCTAGAGTTCCTGGCGGCCGCTTCCCCTCATCTCTGTGCCATGCTCCTCGCCCCTGAGGGTGACCCCGACGCCCTTGACATTCCGACTCCTCGCACTTACGTCGAGGCAGTGTCAGGGCCTTGGGCCTCTCAGTGAAGAGCTGCCATGGACGCAGAGATGGCCTCCTACAGATCCACAGGCACCTACGTCGATGAGGTTCCCCCCCCCTGGGGCGAACGTAGTGGACGGCATGTGGATCCACAGGGTGAAGCGGCCACCGGGATCTCCCCCGGTCTTCAAGGCGCGCTACGTGGCTAGAGGTTTCAGTCAGCGCGAGGGAGTTGACTTCTTTCAGACCTTCGCACCTACCCCGAAGATGACCACTCTTCGGGTGTTACTACACGTAGCAGCACAGAGAGACTACGAGTTACACTCTCTCGACTTCTCCACTGCTTTCCTTCAGGGCAAGCCTACACGAGGAGGTCTGGTTGCGTCGTCCCTCGGCCTTCACTGGCACCTTCCCTCCTGGGACCCAGTGGAGGCTGAGGCGACCTGTTTACGGTCTTCGCCAGGCCCCTCGTGAGTGGCACGACACTCTGCGTTCTACCCTCTCTGACCTTGGGTTCCAGCCGTCTTCTGCCGACCCATCGCTGTTCGTTCGTCGTGGCTCCACACCGTTCTTTGTTCTGGTTTACGTCGACGACCTCGTTTTCGCCACTCCGGACAGGGTTGCTTTGGCAGACGTGAAGTCCGAACTGCAGAAGAGACACACGTGCACTGATCTTGGTGAGCTGCGCCACTACCTTGGCCTGCAGATCACCAGGGACAGAGCCGCTCGCACCATTACACTCTCACAGTCACACATGGTGCAGCAGGTCCTTCAGCGGTTCGGGCTTCAGCACTCCACCGTACAGCGCACACCTCTCGCTGTTGACCACAGACTCACTGGTCCCTTTCCTGACGAGCCGTTTGAGCCTAGTGGTCCCTACGCAGAGCTTGTGGGTTGCCTCATGTACCTGATGACTTGTACTCGCCCGGACCTCGCCTTCCCTCTCAGCATCCTTGCGCGCTTTGTTGCACCAGGGAGACACCGTCCTGTTCACTGGACGGCAGCTGTGAGGGTGGCGAAGTACCTAGCGACTACATCAGGCGTGGGGCTAGTTCTTGGAGGGCAGCAGTCTGTCGTACTCACTGGTCACTGTGACTCCTCTTACGCTGACGACGCTGAGACTCACAGGTCTACTCAGGGGTACTGTTTCAGTCTGGGTTCTGGAGCTGTTTCCTGGCGTTCCACGCGCTCCTCTTCTGTCTCGACCTCTACAGCTGAGGCTGAGATTTACGCTGGTGCCATGGCGGCACAGGAGTTGCGGTGGTTGACCTTCTTGCTCGCCGACCTTGGTGAGCGGCCGAGCTCTGCACCGACCTTGTTTACTGACAACAAGGCGTCGATCCTCCTCTGTCGTGAGCCGCGACTGGAGAGCAGAGTGAAGCAGATTCACGTCAGGTACTTTCTTCTGCGAGAGTTGCAGAGGCGTGGACAGGCTCGCTTCGAGTTTGTAGAGTCCGAGGCCAACACTGCAGACATCTTCACCAAGGCGCTTCCGCCTCGTGACCACCAGAGATGTTGTGTGCAGTTAGGCCTTGTTGACACAGGTTCTAGTCATGTGTAGGCTTGAGTTTATTGGCTGCTTCGTCTGTACTCTTGCTATATATACTTGTGATCTCTTGGACTGGCCTTGTGGCCACTGTTGCTTGTGCTCAGAGTGTGTGGTGACGTTGTGATCCACCCTGAGCTTTGTTTTCTTTTGGACTGGTCTTGTGACCGTACTCTTTTTGATTTTGCTAGACACCCCTCACTTAGGCTATGGGGGTGTGTCAGAATGTTGTAGCCTATAGTGAGGTTTGTCTTAGGGGGTACAGAAGTTAGGGTTTGTTATATGTACCCCAACCAACATCAATGGAACCATCCATTCCTCATTCTGACAAAACGAAACATCATGGCAACGGACGGTGGCGAACCCCGGTTGACGGTGGCCGCATAACGTGCGGTAGCGCTTTGCCGAGTCGGGTCTTGCATGAGCCGGGATGCGCGAATTAACTCAGAGTCGAGTTGGGTGATGTACATCTCCTTCGCACCATCGCTGCGCCACGCCCGAGCGCCTTGAAGAGGCGGTCTGGGACACCAGCATCAACCAGCGAGGGTGGCCGCCGTCTTGCGAAAGAGTGTGTCCCGAGGGTGGTAGGATCCAAACCCAACGCGAGTAAAGGCCTCGCGCAAGCCAGTTCCGCACAGTGGTGTAAGACGGGGAAGAGTCTGACGGTGACGCGCCGTAACCCAGGCCGAAAGACGCGAATGAGGGAGCCCATGGACACGCGGGAGAATCCCGCCAAGAAGAGAAATTCCTTAACGCGAGCAACGGGACAGTGGGGAGCGTCCGACGTTGCCACGGGAACCCAAGCTCCGTCACCACTTTGATCAGTCTTGGATCGGGGAATGAAGAGCCACATGCAGTCAGCGTCAAACTCGATGTGATGCCACTTAAGGGCGACGAGGTCGGGAGAAGCGCAAGAAGGCAGAGAACATGAGGAGTGGAATGAGCCCTTTTTGAAAGGTGGCAGGGTCTCGCGAGGAGAAGAAGAAGTCGCACATGTCGTAGATCTTGGAGGGGGGCACAGGATCCTTGCCCGGTTGGGGCGGGCACACGTGCGGTGGGCGTAATCCTTGACGTGTGAGGAAAGCGGTCCCTTGATAGGGGATGGCACGCCTAGGAGCCAGTGAGCGCAGGAGATGGCGGAACAAATTGAACGAATGGCTGATAGCGTCGCACCCAATCGGATTGATTGCAAGAGGAAGAGGGGCTGTGGTGAGATCATTGGCCGGGAGGCGATTGGGAATGAGTGCTTTGAGGCAAAAGGCCCGGTACTGCTGCCAGTATGGCTCATACGTGCGAATGGTGGATTGGGCACGAAGATCCACCATGAGTGTCAGCAGGTCCAGAAAGAGTTTACAGATATCCGATCCTGCCACGCATGAACCGATTCATTATACGAAAAATCCATGCGAAGAACAATGAGGGGCGAGTTAGGTAGCCCGAGTCCACCAAACGCACAAACATCACTACCTAGTTCGAGACAAGAAGAACCTAGGGGAAGCAGCAGATGGTCTAGTATGAAGGGGGGCACATGAAGTACCGTCCGGGTATATAATGGGCCACCAGAAGGCACTAGGCCAGCGAGGGACAAGGAGCGTTAGCCTAGCGAGCGAGCGTCGTGCATGTGCGATAACCGCCGGGATCAATGATGGTGGCGGGAAGGCGTACGCATTCTCCGCATGCCAACTGAAGGAAAAGGCATCTTGCGTGACTGCACGGGGGTGGAAAGACGAACGTGCAAAA